TTCAGTTTTGGGTCGTTACAAATTTGGTATTAGGGTGAAGGTTCGAAAACCATTAGGACGATGGGTAGAGGCCTACCTAGGGTTGTCTGGGAAGTCATTTGCATTGTAAATTCCTTATTTGCAAAAGTGTTTTGCTATATGAAAAAGCATGCTTAACTGTTTACTTGCTTACGTGATTATGTGATTATATGCTTATATTAATGTGTTCATTGCCTAGTCCTGCATGTAAGTGTTAGTATAGCATTCTTTTATGTTGAGTTGTTCACAGTTAGACCTTAGTGTTATCGTTATTGAATCATTTTATTTGTTTTTTTAGCACGATGTCACGACGTGAGGAAACCAGGGAAGTTGGCCCTAGACCGACTAGGGGTGATGTTGGCGAGAGCTCCAGCTCCAATCCGGAGGAGCTAAATGATGAGGACAAACTTCTTCTGGACTTGATTCCCCCAAGAGTTGTCCCAACAAGGAAGGATAATGTTGAAGCACCCGTAGAAGTGGGTGAAGGTTCTGTGGCACTGGAGTTGAATTGTTTGTTGTAAAATGCCGTGAGGGCAACGATTGCTGCTCAGTCGTAGTCGGCACCACAACTTATAATTCAAGTTGAGGAAACACCAGCTCAGAAGCGTTTCAAGATCATTAAGGGGTTTTCTCAGCTGATGCCGGTTATATTTGAGGGTGGTGCGGATCCAATGACAGCAGACGACTACATGGATCAAGTTGAGACATAGTTGACCTCAATGGATGTGACAGAGGATCATCTGAAGATCATCCTAGCAACTTACAAGTTTACTAAGGATGCTAAACTTTGGTGGAAGACGGTTACGAATCAGCATAAGGTGGAAGAGATGAGTTGGGACAAGTTCAAAAAACTATTTTACGAGAAGTATTTTCCGCTTTCTAAAAGATGGGAGTTAAAAGACCAGTTTCTTAACCTTATTCAAAGCAATATGTCAGTGGCGGAGTACGAGAACAAGTTCACTTCACTTTCTCGCTTTGCTCCAGAAATGGTAAGAGATGAAGTTGACAAGACTCGGAAATTTGTTTTTGGTCTTAATGATAAAATGAGGCCGTTGATAACGGTACAGTTTATCAAGGTTTATTTTAAAGCAGTGGAAAGGGCTTTAATGCTGGAGGCTGACATTAAAGATAAGGATGCGAGAAGAGAGCAGTGGAAGCAAAAGAGGGGTGCAGGGCCATCTTCAGAAGGATCTTCTTGGAAAAGGAACAGGGGCGGTCCATCTCAGTTCAGGGGCAGCAGTCTGCACGATCCGTCCCTACCACTCCTTTGCCAGCTGGGTCTGATAGGAGTGGAGTCGTTTATTTTCAGTGCCAGCAGCCTAGACATTACAAGTCTAGATGTCCTATGAACTCGACCACAGTTTATGTGCCACCGAGAGCTTGTTATGGGTGTGGCCAGCAGGGCCATCTGATCCGGGATTGTCCTAGAGCAGGCACCGGTAGTGGCAGAGGGTCACAGTAGAGGCCGTCACAATTTGCTATAGTTCAGTCAGGTTTCAGACCGCCACCACCACAGCGTGCCATGTCTTTTCAGGGTTCACGACCAGTTAAGAGGGATATTCCTACTATATCAGTGCAGCAGTCAGGTGTTCAGGTTGGCAGTCCTCAGGCTCAGGCACCACAGGGACGTGTTTTTGCACTTACTCAGGCCGATGCATCTTTTGGTCCATCAGTTCTTTGAGGTATATTTCCAATGTTTGGTTGTTGGGCCCATGTTTTGTTTAACTCTGGTACATCTCATTCCTTTATATCATCATCATTTGTACTTGTATCGGGGTTAGAGGTCAGTTTCATGGATCGGGCATTATATGTTGATACGCCAGTTGGGGTTTCAGTGTCTTTGAGCTGAATTGTGAGGGATTGTTCCATTGTGATAGTTGAACGAACTTTTGTGTTTGATCTTATCCTCCTGGAGATGACTAGCTTTGATGTCATTCTGGGGATGGATTAGTAAGCTTCATTTCGTGCCACGATCGACTGTTTTAGACGTAGAGTCACAGTTTGCACTCCCGAGGGAGACTGTTTCTTTTTCGTGGGAGATCGGAGTGATTCCCAAATTTTATCATTTTATGGAGTTCGTGGACGGAGTCGTGGTGATTACTTATTGGCTAGCCTTATAGCCGAAGAAGATGATGTTGTGAAAAAAGGATTATCCTGGGTTGTTCGTGATTTTCTAGATGTGTTTCCTAAGGATTTGACAGAGTTGCCTCCACATCGAGAAGTGGAGTTCTCTATTGATTTGATGCCAGGTACCGCGCCGATTTCTATGGCACTGTATCGTATGGCACCAGTTGAATTGGAAGAATTAAAGAGGCAGCTTGATGATCTGAGGATGAAAGGTTTCATCTAACCGAGTGTGTCACCGTGAGGCGCACCGGTCTTGTTTACTAAGAAGAAAGATGGTTCTTTGAGGTTGTGCATTGATTACAGGAATTTGAATCCTGCCACCATCAAGAATAAGTATCCCTTACCAAGGATAGATGATTTGTTTGATCAATTGAGAGGAGCCAGTTGTTTTTCAAAGATTGACTTGAGGTCAGGCTACTATCAGTTACGGGTCAGGGATGAAATCCCAAAAACAGCATTCCGTACACGGTATGGACACTATAAGTTCCTTGTTATGCCTTTTGGCTTGACTAATGCGCCAGCGGCATTCATGGACTTGATGAACCGCGTCTTTCATGATTACTTGGACCAGTTTGTGGTAGTTTTCGTGGATGACATTCTCGTGTATTCACGATCTCGGAAGGAGCACGAGGTCCATTTGAGTATTGTTTTACAGATTTTACGGGAGCACCGATTGTATGCCAAATATGAGAAATGTGAGTTTTGGTTACAAAATGTGAAATTTTTAGGGATGTTGTTTCAGAAGGTGGAGTGTCAGTGGATCCATCAAAGGTTGAAGCAGTTTTGACTTGGGAGCAACCAAAGAATGTTTTTGAGATTCGGAGTTTCCTTGGCCTAGCGGGTCACTATCGGAGATTTGTGAAGGATTTCTCCCGTTTGGCAGCTCCTATGACCCGTTTGACCCAGAAAGGGATCAAGTTTACATGGAATGAAGCCTGTGAGTCATCCTTTCAAGAGTTAAAGACAAGATTGACTACAGCTCCAGTGTTGGTGATACCTGAGCGTGGCTTGGGTTATGTAATTTATTGTGATGTTTCACGTGATGGTTTGGGATGTATGCTGATGCAAGATGGTAGATTAGTGGCTTATGGGTCTCGATAGTTGAAGACTCACGAGCTTAACTACCCTACTCATGATTTAGAGTTAGCGGTAGTTGTATTTGCCTTGAAGTGTTGGAGATATTACTTGTATGGTAAGAGATTCAATGTGTACTCAGATCATAAAAGTCTCAAGTACCTTTTCTCCCAAAAGAACTTGAACAACAGACAGAGAAGATGGGTTGAGTTCTTGGAGGACTATAATTTTGACTTACAGTATCATCCGTGCAGGGCAAATGTGGTAGCAAATGCCTTAAGCTGGAAATCTTGTGGGACTCTGGCTTGTTTGGCTATTCGGAAGTGGAAGATGCTTAAGGATTTGGCAAAGATGGGATTGTATTGTTTTGATGACGATGTTGACAATGAGCCAGCATTCTTGTTTAGTCTTGTGGCTCAACCTACTCTTGTTGTACGAGTGATTGAGTCACAGAGACAGGACCCGGATTTAGATGTCATTCACGTTTTGATCTCCAGTGGTGAGACAGTGAAAGATTGGTCCTTGCATGCAGATGGGGGTCTGCGGTTCAGGGATTTGTTGGTGGATCCCACAGTTTGTCTTGAAGACGTCTTACGGGAGTTTTACACTTCCCGCTTTGCAATTCATCTAGGTGGTACCAAGATGTATCACAATTTGAGACGTTAGTATTGGTGGAACGTGATGAAGAAAGATGTTGCTCAGTTTGTGGCTAAGTGCCTTACCTGTCAACAGGTGAAGGCCGAGCATCAGAGACCAGCTAGTTTGTTACAACCATTACCTGTAGCACAATGGAAATGGGAACATATTGCTATGGATTTTATGACAGGTCTTCTAAGGTCACGGAGGGGCAATGAAGCCGTATGAGTCATCATTGACAGGTTGACCAAGACGGCTCACTTTTTGCCTATTAAGGCAACAGACGATGCAGAGAAGCTTGGTGTACTTTATGTGAAGGAGATTGTAAGGTTGCATGGAGTTCCAGTAACCATTGTCTCAGATAGGGATGCTAAATTCACTTCGAAGTTCTGGGAAGGACTTCAAGCAGCGTTTGGTTCAGCGTTTCATCTTAGTACAGCATTCCATCCACAGACAGATGGCTAGTCGGAGCGTACTATCCAGATTTTGGAGGATATGCTTTGAGGCATGTGTACTTGATTTGGGAGGTAGTTGGGAGGATCATTTACCGCTTATTGAGTTTGCCTATAATAATAGTTATCAAGCGAGTATCCAGATGGCTCCATTTGAGGCATTGTATGGTAGACCTTGTAGGTCTCCTGTTTGTTGGACTGAGGTGGGTGAAACCGCCGCGTTAGGACCCGACATAGTACTTGAGACTACTGAGAAGATTAAGCTGATTAGACAGAGGTTACTTACAACTCAGAGCTGACAGAAAAGCTATGCAGATAAATGGAGAGGGCTGTTATCCTTTGAGGTGGGAGACCACGTTTTTCTACGGGCTTCTCCACGGAAAGGATTGATGAGATTTAGGAAACGTGGCAAGTTGTCGCCACGATTCATTAGATCATTTGAGATTTTGGATCGTGTATGAGAGGTTGCCTATAGACTTGCCTTGCCACCACAGATGGACAGAGTTCACAATGTTTTTCATATATCGATGTTACGGAAGTACGAGCCGGATCCATCTCACATTTTGAGTTGGGTTGATATGGACATTGATGAGAATGTTTCCTATGAGGAAGGACCGGTTCAGATTCTTGACACACAACAGAAGGTGTTGAGGAACAAGACGATACCAATGGTGAAAGTACTTTGGAGACACCATGGAGTCAAAGCGGCTACTTGGGAGCTCAAACAGGAGGTTCGTTCCAAGTACCCAGCGTTGTTTTCTCCTCAGGTTTGTCTTGATTTCGGGGACGAAATCTTTTAAAGTTGGGGAGAATGTAATGTCTGTGTATATATGTACATATGTGTATATAATTGTGTGTGTGTGGTGTAATTTTATAAATAAATAAAAAAAAAAAAAAAAAAAAAAAAAAAAAAAGTGGGACCCACACCCCATTTAAGTGGATTGTGATACCACATTTGGTCTCTGCTTCCTCACTCTCTCTACCGTCTCTGTCTGCTCTTGGTTTCTCTTTCTTTTTTTTTCTTTTTTTTTTTCACTTCAAACTTTCATTGCTGATTTCTCCCTCATCTCTTAGTGTTTTTAAGTGCCATTTGAGGCAAAACGAAGCCCACAACGAGCTCTACGCAATTGTACTAACAATTTCAGTTTTGGTGCTCATTTGTGCATTCGAGTTTAGAGACCTACTTTCAAGGGTTTTGTTCAATTTAGAGGTAGGGGCTCTTAATCCAAGTTTTTCTTGCTCCATTGTGAATTATATCTCTTTTGTTGTAACAAGCATGTTTAATTTGGAAGTTAATTGTTTCAATGATTATATAAATGATGTTTAGGAAAATTCATGATTATGAATATGAGTAGAAAAGCATGCTCAGAGGTTGTCTTGTTGTATTTAATGTGTTGATAATTCATTTGGAGATATTGAACATGATGTATGCTTAATTTTATGAAGTAAAATTCTGTGTTATTTTGTTGTGTTTAATGTGTTGATAATTCATTTAGAGATGTTAAATATGATGTATGCTTAATTATGTGGTATAAAATTCTAAATGTCATAATATTGAAAGCATGGGACATATATACATGTACATACCATTGGGTTTGCATGAAATGGGAGAATTTGCTTGAAACAAAAAGGGAAATTTTAGGAAAAGAGTTTTTACCAAATGGTTTTATGAAAATTCGGTCGCCGCGGGGGTACCAAAGGGCCGGAGTATTAATATAGCCTAGAGGGGACTAGGGAGTCGCCCTAGCGTGGTTGAGCTAGCTGGACCATAATGACGCCACGGGGGTACCAAGGGTCAGAGACACTAGCCAATCCTCCTCTCATGCCGCTGCGGGGTCACCAAAGGGCGGGTTGCATTAACAGTTTGAAAGTGTTGGTTTTGAAATGTGAAAATAGGGAGCGACATCGGCATGCATTTGCATTCCATGGCATTGCATTGTTTGCACTTGAGTTTGGTTGAAATGTTGTATTATCCCGACATTATATGATCCCCATTCCTATTAATCTATTCTTTGTATGGACTCACAAGGACACAAGATGCGTATCTTAAGTGCTACCTACTGAGCTTTATGCTCACCCTATTATTTAATAATTTTTTCAGGAAACAGGAAAGAAGTGGCGGATGACATTCCACCACAGGCTTAAATTAGATTAGAAGACCTTTTGTTATTTTTGTATCTAAGTCCCGCTATTTTTGGTGAAACTTAGCATATTGTATTCTGTACTGAAACCTATGGATTTTTGCTATTATAGTTATATTCATGGGCTGTAATGTTATTAGAAGTCATGGACGTTGTAAGACATGGACGTTTAACCTTAATTATATTTTTGGGACTGTAATTATGATATTTGGATTAAATATCATGTAGTGGCTCCACCGTAAACAGAACTGTGTTGAGATATAATGAATGATTGAAAGAAATGTATTGTTTGTATTGTGCTGGGACAGGTTAGGTAAATTTTGAAAGTCCGAGAGAGGCCCTATGCATTTTTATGCATATAAACAAGTTATGGTAGGACCCTTTTTAGCGAAGGTTATGCCGAAATTTTTTTTAAAAGTTTTTATTATTTTCGGTATTCAGTTTTGGGTCGTTACACATGTGAATTAAGGGATGTAATAAACAAAATTAATAAGATAAAATGCTCACAATAATAATGTGTTGAGTTAACAACACGTATGTATAACTTAAAAATATAAATACAATGTATAACTATAGTACCCCTTTGGGTGGCAACTATAAAATACTAATAATGATACTTACATGTATTTATATGTATACCTTCATTGGTGATACATTATTGAATTAAATAAATAAGTTACCTTCGGATATCCTATATCTACTTAATTAAAAAATACATACAACCCTTTAATTTTTATTTAATCACTTGAAAATCAATTCCCTTTAGGAAATTATTTTAATTGAATAAAATCAACATTCGTGAATATCATAAAAAACCATAAGCATCAAAATTCATGAAATATTGTTATTATGTTTACTACTAAAATTAATATTCATCAACCATTATGGTTAGGCCACTTTGGTAGCTACAAACCTTTACATAATATGAATATTAAATTAAATAGTAACTAATTTATGATTAATTATGTCTACTACAAAAATTAATATTCATCAATTATTATGATTGGGCCACTTTGGTAGCTACCAATTTTTACATAATATGAATATTAAATTAGACAGAGATTAATTCATCATTAAATTATATTTACTACTAAAATTAATATTCATCGACCATTATGGTTAGTTCACTTTGGTAGCTACTAACTCTCACATAATATGAATATTAAATTAGTTAGTAACTAATTAATCATGAATTTACCCATTTAACATTATACACACATACTCATACTGATCGATCTAAATTTAGGTAGATTTGATCCCAGAAACTTAATAGTCCAAAAGTTCAATAAAAATATTCTTTTATTTTATATACATAATAAAATATATATTATTTTTTACTTTCGGACTTGAAAATCATAATTGAATCAATCTTAAATTGACTCTCCATCATGTATGTACGTATGAGTACAAAAATAATAATTTATTTGCTTGTCCAATAATAAGATTAAATTAAATTTCTAAACTCATGTTATTTTAGAAATTTAAATTTCTATAATAAAATAAATCAATCCATGAAACATATGTTGCATCAATTTGTCTGTACACATTAATTATGTGTCTTGATGAATTATTATACATATGCATACATGCTTTCAATAATTAACTTTCGAGTAATATAATCATGTTCACACAAACTGATCAAAATAAAAGTACGTACTATAGAATAATTATTCATAAAAGGACTCAAAAGGCATATTAATTACTCAACGGTGGGCCACGTTTATTAGTCTCGATCAAATCAAATATAGTAGCATATTCGATTATATTTATATGCATTCAGACACAAAAGATTAGACATGCAATCGGATTAAATTGAAAATATTATTTATGCAACATTAATGGAAAACAATGACTTCCTAAACCATAAGCTCTGATACCACATGTAAACTCTAATAATTCGTGAAAATCATTAATCACAAATAAACATGAATCCTAAGATCTTAGAACTTCATTATCTTCACATAATCTATAATGCATAAATAAATACTAGTTAGATATAAATACCTCGATCTGTAATTGCAAATCTTGTTGAGATCAAGTCAAATATCGAGATCTTTTTTGCCGAAGAACAACGTGATAAACTGCAAGTACAAACAATAGCCAAAACGTGTGAAAACTGATTTATCTCTCTTAGTATTTTACACACATTAATTATACAGGTTATTTTCATTCGTGTACATAACTGATGAGATATATGCACTTTTATAAAGATAAAGAGAGGACGAGTTTTTTTTTTTAGTAATCTTAATTCCACTCTCCATATATCAAAGTAAGGAATAAATAGAAAAATATAATGGAAGGTTGTCGTCCTCGAACATCATCATCTTCATCACCACCACCTTGATACCGTCTCTAACCATTTCACCAGAATCGTATATTAGAGACCGGCCTGCACTTGCTCTACACACTGCTAACACAAGTAGTAGAACAACAGCAGTAAATCTTCCCATTTTTTTCTGGAGTTGATTAAGGGAAAGGAAGATAGTTTTGGTGAAAAAAATCTGTAAGTAGACTAGAGGGGGTTAGTAATCAATAATCATATAGAGTATGAAATGTTGAGTTTAAGGTTTGCCTATTTATTTGAAATAGTTGGTAGTGGATAAATATTGCATTTCATGTCGAAAATAAATCTTAAAAATTATTAAAACGTGCAGTGTCAAAGTGTATAAATTAATAGCAAGCACGAGGTTACTTGCAAGTTACTATATTAATTTGATCAACTGAATATTTGAAACCTAAAAATTGCATGCTAAAAACGTGTGACGTCGTTCGGCTGCTTGAATGAATCATGATTGTCGGCCCAAACCTTGTATGAGCTGGTTGCACCATGGCCTGCTTGATCCTGATTTTGGGCCGACTTGGCCTGATCCGGAACCCAATGGGGCCAGACCTAGCCCTTCAAAGTTGGGCAATTAGGATGGTCAAAAATCGAATTTGCAACCCATGATTTTCAAAAGAAATAAATGGAACATAGTTTTAGTGGTATCTCTTCTACTTTCAACATTTTAAATTAAATATAAGAGAGTTCGAGTTTCATAAAAAATATATATATATATATTGTTGCATGCAACTCAGTGTTGAGTTTTTCATTTTTAGAACTTTGAGTGTTGGACGAGACATGATTGTGCTAAATTTGAATTTGATTTCAATAGAAGAAAAAAATTTCATGAAAAGCTTTGAACCTTAAAATTTTGACATGTGTTTATTGATGGACTGTTTTGTAGACTTTGACCCAATGAAATAATCTCAAAATTTTGATCTCCATTCTACGGAAAATTTAATGATTCCAGGCAATAAAAAATAATTTTATGTGTGGAATCTGGATTGTGTCTCCATGCAGAGTGGACAGAGACTGAAGACTGGCTTGTAATTTCAACGGTCTAGATTAATTTTGCACGTAAAGATCACGAAAAGTCCCACAGTAGTCACTTTATAGGTTTATTTCTAACTTAAAAATGTTGGGTAATTCAGTTTATTATGAGATAAGCTTGTGGTAACAGGTTATAGCAATTGACAACAAATCACAAACTAACCTAATACTCCACTTTTGGACGTTGCATGAACTTATATAAAGTTACCACGTTATATCCACTAACTGTGGCCAATTTGGAAAAATATTAGATGTGGAATTGCTATGCCATACTTTCTATGCAATTAAGAAATTCAGTAACATCCTGTTTCGTCCAGCTTTTTAAAAACAATATTTCTTAAGAATATTAAAAACGAAACACTTATTATAATTTGGAATTGAAGTTGACGAATCCCACTATTGGACGTGAATGACAGTGAGATAAATTAGGTGGCCAATTCATTTAAGAAGACCAATGTTATCTTTTAAAATAATAATAATAGATAAATAAAAAGCGAAGACAAAGACCAAGACCGAATAATCATACATACAATTGTGTCTCATTTTGTTTTTTTTTAGGCTAACCACACAAAATCGAGTCTGCATGGACCACCACATGATGAATTGAAATCTAAGTCACCCCAACAAGTAAGTTCAAAAATTAAATGTTTTGAATAGAATTCCAAGCTCAGACCAGGACTGAAAAAAAATACATTTAAGTAGTACCAAACAATGAGTCCATTGTCAAGAACACCATATATATATACATCTTGAGCTGCCTAGCAATTCAACAATTCAACAATTCAAATGGAAACTGGACTTTCAATTTCAGTGATGTCGACGACATCAGCGACGATATTTATATCTAGGTTTTGAATTTTTTATTTATTCGTATATTCCATATGTGTAAAAAAATTGAACCAGTCAAGTTCTTCTTTGTTTATAGGGCAAATTTCGTAAAACCCCCAAAACTATTAAAAAATGATCATAAAACCTCAGCCTGTTTTTAAAAACCCCTATACTTTTAAAAAGTGTTCACATTGCCCCAATATCCGTATCCGCCCCGTTAATTGGGCTGTGAAATGACAAATTTGACCTTACCATTTAATATTAAATTAAAAAATAAAAATTATTTTTATTAAATTACAAAAACACCCTTAAATAGGGAGCAAGCGGAGAAGGCGGCGGCTGCTTCTGCGACGGCGGGTGGCGGGGATTCGAAGAGCTTTCCGAGTCTGAGGGATGCGGTGAGCACCAAGCCGAAGAAGAAGAAGATGAGCTTGTAGGAGTTCACGATGCAACGTCCAGAATCGGCGTTTGATTACAAAGGTTTGACGCCGGACGAGATGCTCAGGCTTCCAACCGAGCTGAAGGAGCGGTCTGCAGAGGAAATGCAGTCCGGCGGGCCGATGGAGGACCGGGTTGTATGCGGGATAGAGACAGAGATGGTGATAATACTTGGGGAAGTAATCGGAGATCTTACGATGGTGGATTCGATGACGATCGTAGGGGTCCGCCTTCTAGGGTTTCGGATTTTGATCAACCCTTGAGAGCTGATGAGGTCAATAATTGGGCATCGGGGAAGAAATCTTTACCGTCCTTTGATTCCGGCCTCTCTAATCGGTACGGGTCGCTTGGTGGTTGTGGTGTTGAGGTAAAAGGCATGTCTAGGGCTGACGAAGTTGATAATTGGGCATCTGTGAAGAAGTTAATGCCTGCAAGATCTTCAACTTTTGGTTCAGGTTTTCGTAATTCCAGTCCAGAACCAGATCGTTGCACCAGGGGAGGATTGCGCGAGGAGGATTGGGAGCGGGAACGGGAGCGCTGCCAATTGGTTTTGGATCCGCCACGGGTTTAAGCTTTGAATGAAATTTAAGCTTTGAATTAAATTATTTTTGTAATTTAAAAAAATAATTTTTAATTTAATATTAAATGGTAAGGTCAAATTTGTCATTTCACAGCCCAATTAACGGGTCGGATACGGATATTGGGGCAATGTGAACACTTTTTAAAAGTATAAGGGTTTTTAGAAATAGGTTGGGGTTTTATGATCATTTTTTAATAGTTTTGGGGGTTTTACTGAATTTGCCCTTGTTTATACAAGAAAATTCCAATCAGTTCACACGGAAAATTTGAAGTTGGTTGTTATAAATTCTTGGAGTCATGGCATATATTTATTTCACACCAACATTAATTCAACTGCCACACTCTTAACAAATAATTTTTTATCCAACTTTCTGCATATAAACGTCCTAATTAATTAGAAATATTTTTATAAGTATTTAATGAATTACAAAATCCATTTAATTTACATGGACTAAACAAACAGTTCACTTTTTGTCTATAAAATCATGGACTAAACAATTCCATAATACATTAATGTCATGATGCTCAAGTTCACATTAATCACATGGGAGTAATGAATTTTTTTAAAGAAAAAATTATTTTGAAGTTAAAAAAATAAATGAATAAATACATGTAGGCATAAAAAAGAAAAAATAATAAGAAAAAACATTTAGGCATTATTTTTTGTAGTAATAGAAGATGACTTTATTTAGCAAATCTATATAAAATGAAAATCAATAAAAATTAAATAAATGAACGCACAATATAATTCCAAATATATATATATATATATAGCAGATAAATTTCAAGAAAAAACCTAAATTCATGTGGGTATTAAGGTTGGTTGGAAATACAAATATAGTGTAAATAATATATTATGTATTGCATTATAATGGTGTATATATATATATATATATATATATATATATATATATATATATAATGGGTAAACAAAAGAAGAGGAGTAAGAAAAAGAGCACTTGTTGCTGCAATGGTGCAGGATATGTGATCAAGAGTGATAACAGAGTGTATATACATATATATATATATATATACATACATGGCCTGTGGAGTATATAAAAAAAAATGTACAAAGGCATTTTTATCTAAAAAAATATATGAGAAAAATCAATGTCCAAACAACTCATTTCAGTTAACGTCCGTTAGTTAAATTATCCCCTTGAATAGTTGAGAGGAATTTAATTTTTTGATTAAAAAAAAGAGTTTTAGTGCAAAATACAAATAAAAAAGGGAATTAATGCAGTTCACCCTATAATTTATAAATTGAAACACATGTTTTCACACTATGAGCTCAGCCCTGTGAGCTCAGCCCCGCAAGTGAAAGTTTTTGGGTCCACCCCTACCAAACATACCTTCCAAATTAATTCGTTTAGTCTTTCTCGTATTTACATTTATGAAGTTGTGACCATAATTTTGTTTTAGGTCAAGTTTTGTTGTAACTTGGTTTTGACCGGATTTTATAATTTTTTTATAGCCTATAAGGGCGCTTAGGATCTTTGGGTATGGATTGGGTATGGTGTGAGAGAACACTTAAAAGCTGCATGCTAGAGAGTGGGAGAAAGGGGGTTTTGGAAGTTATACCTTTTAATTTCTTGTTTTTTAGATAGTGAAAATTTTGTCGGATCTTCACCGTGATTTTTTAGAAAATGAAATTTTTTGTTGGATCTTCACCACGAACATAAATTTTACGTCTGGATCAATCAATGGATTAGATTTCAATCTGTATGAATTATGGTCAATTTGATCCGTTAATAATTCGATCCAACTAAATATAATATATAATTGGTATACAGCTGATGAAAAAATTAATCAATAATATTGTTTACAGAGTATTTCACATTGAAACTCTTAATTATACCATTTTTTTATTTTTTGAATTCTTTTCTTTCTCCTATATATATATATATATATATATATATATATATATATATAGTATTTATTGTTTTTTTTTTAATCTAAGTAAGAATCAAATATCAAATTTCTTCTCTATTTTTGTTCATATTTTTTTGTCCCTTCACTCTTTCTTTCTTTTTAATTTATTTTAAATATATTAACAAACAAAAAAAACTTCTTAGTGGATCTAATTATCAGAAATTGATTTAATAACAGATAATTCGTCCGGTCATTACATCGGATCTAATCAAATCGAATAAATTTTTTTTATTGGATGAAGCCATATTCGGTCCCAATTTGATTCCTTGACTAGTTTATTTAGGCTGAGCCATATTTACTTATTTATATGGTATTTTTGTGTCACGGAGCTTGTCTATTTTTTAATTACGGCTTTGTCCTAACAAAACTGGTTATAATTACGGGCTTGTCCTAACAAAACTAGTTTTGTCGTTACTTGGTGTAGGTTGTTGCAAGAAAGCTGCATCAATGTTACGTTCCCCGAAACTCTTATATGGATAGTATCTTTGCCGGCTTGATCACAATTGCTGCTATATATATATATATATATATATATATATATATATAAATATATGGTCTATGATACAAGAGTTTCTATCACACAACGTGCTTTGACAAGAAAGAAAATGAGTACTAACTTCCTCCAATCAAAGTCATTTTAACGCCTCATGACTCACCGTGTGAATTGCAAGAAAAAACAAATATATTGTTGAAATGTGTGTAGTTAATTTCTTGCAATCCAAACACTGCCATCAGCATTTTATATCTATAAAAAGGGAAGGTGGCGGCTCTTGTTAGTTAGGTGTTAAAAAAAAATGACGAAAACATTTTGTCATCTCTTATTCTCTATCATGGCCTTGTCATCCTTGTTCTTATTTCCAGATAAAGCAGTTAGCATGAATTCGACGGCCAAAAACCATGTCAAGGGCATTATAGGAGCCATTGTTGATTCGAGTTCTCGTAAGGGTCAAGAAGCAAAAGTGGCCATGGAGATTGCAAGAGATGATTTCAACCACCAAACCAATCAAACATTGATTTTGCATGTAATCAACTCTCATGGAGAAACCATCCGGGCAGCTCGTGCTGGTAATTAATTACACACACACACACACACATATATATATATATATCAACTCTTCTCCTTTAGATTATCTTTTTTATTCAAGTGAGTTCAACTAATACAAATTAATTAACCTACACTTAATGGTTTGCTTGTAGTTCTCTACTAGCTAGAAGACCTTGTTTAATTAAAGGAATTAAGATTCAATTTCCTTGGTAACCTCACACTTACAACCCAAAAAATATCTTATGAACTTGATTTGATATAGATAGTACTATCTGATCAGCTATTAATATCTAGACCTTGTTTATAATTTGGATCGATGTAAGGAGGAGTCTCTGTCACTCAACAATTGGACAAATTGATAGTCACATTTGATAAGAAAAGTAGCTGATAGTCCAAATGACGTTACAGCATACCTAATAATTAATTTCTTCAGTTGATAATTTACAAGAACTCGCAATTGTTTGATTATAAATTTAGCCTTGTAGAATAAAAATACATGCTAATTAATTTCGCAACAACATTGACCTACAGCTAAATATCTTATCAACAAGGAGGGAGTGCAAGCCATTTTGGGGCCACAGACATGGGAAGAAGCATCAACAGTTGCAGAGAGTTGTAGCCAAAATTCTCATACAATTCCCATTCTTTCTCTAGCTGATGCTACTCCACCATGGGCAACGAGGCGTTGGCCCTTCCTAATTCAAGCCTCACTGAGCCATCACGCGCAAATGAAAGCTGTGGCTGCTGTAGTTCAGTCATGGGGATGGCATAGGGTCATTGTTATATATGAGGACACTGATTCTACTGCCAATGGATTAATTCATCTCTCTGATGCCCTCCGAGAAAAAGGTGCAGAAATAAGCCATTTCGTAGCACTCTCACCTTTCAACGCGCTGTCTGATGATCTTGAGAAGCTTAAAAAAGGGCAATGTCGAGTCTTTGTGGTTCATTCGTCCTTGCCCTTGGCTCTTCGTTTATTTGAGACCGCGAAGGAGATGAAGATGATGGAAAAAGATTATGTGTGGATCACTACAGACTCCACAACAAGTCTTGTTCATTCCATCAACCATTCTAGCATGTCCTCAATGCAAGGGGTTCTAGGCATCAGGAGCTACTTCCCTGAACCCTGGGCACATTCACAAGATTTCTACCTGAAATTTCGTAAAAAGTTTAAATCGGAGTATTCAGAAGAAGAAAATCATGAACCTGGGATTTTCGCGCTGCAGGCCTATGATGCCACACGGGCAGTGGCTGCAGCATTAATTCAGGAAGGAAACAGAGAAGGCCAACATTTGTTAGAAAAAATTTCATCAAGTGACTTCAAAGGCTTAAGTGGTAATGTCAAATTTGTTGACAGAAAATTACCCCCTGCGCAAGTGTTTCAGATTGTCAATGTGATTGGAAGGAGTGATAGAGAACATGGGTTCTGGACCGACGAAAAGGGATTCTCGGAGACTATTGATGAAAGGGCTGCCTACAGTCCTTCCATGGAAAAATTGGGGCTAGTGATGTGGCCTGGGGGACCTTGGTATACTCCAAAAGGGTGGACTCTTCCAACCATGGCCAAGACATTAAGAATAGGCGTGCCAAACGGATCCTTAACCAACCGCTTTGTGAATGTTGAATATGATCCTTCTACAAATAATTACTCCTTCAAAGGATTTTCAATCGATGTGTTCAAGAAAACCGTGAACCGATTACCATATTATTTGCCATATGAGTTCATTCCATGGGGGGGAAATTACACTTCTTTGGTGGAACAAGTTCATCTAAAGGTGAGATCATTCATTCATCTTGTGTTTTGTCCCCTGTTCATTTTTATTTGAGATTTGACTTGAAATTATTTGTTCATGAAATCAGAACTTTGATGCAGCAGTTGGAGACATAGCGATTATTTACAGCAGATACAAATATGTCGAATTCACACATCCTCACACAGAATCAGGATTGGTGATGGTAGTCCCGGTTCAGTCACAATCGAGCAATAACAGTTGGCTATTCACAAAACCATTCAC